CCGATTTGTCTAGTAATGACATTTCTATATTACATTTAGAATCTTAGCGTCTTATTATTAGTTGATTATTACTATTTTTGTGTCTTCCGGGTGCATAACAAGAATAGACTTTTTGCTATGAAAAAAGAATATCATTCATGGTTGGGATGCCTTTTTTCGTAGCATTGCAAATCATGAAAAATTATTCAATCATGCAATAAAGCATTTAAAAAATTGAACGGATGAATAAATTTTGGAAAGAATAATGCGAAAAAAAAGGTGCCAAAACAACAGTATTTTGAAAGGTAAGCGATTGTTCTCTTGTAGTAATTTTAACAATTTTTGTCTTTTTGGCAGAAAAATTTTGATTAGTAAATATTGAATAATTTTTTCTTCCAATATTTCAGGTATGGATGGAGCGTTATACACGCCCAATAGTTTGGGCAGGACGGTGATATGTACTTTTCGTAAGTGCACTATAATTGTGAGATGAATCGTTTTGGTGTTGTGAGAGGCCCGGTCTGGCTTGGCTTCGAAAAGAAATACCATGGAGGCATAGGGACTAAGTTCATAAGCTTTGAAATGTCTTTTGAAACTTAGTTTCTATATCTTCACATTGTATTCATTCATAATCTTACACTGTTATGTAAAAATGATTTCCAGGTATGACTGTCGCTTACATCTTGCAAGTACAGAAGCGCTGGAAATTGCTTGCTTTACTGGAGAAAATAGTGAGACTGGGATTGGATATGACTGTCCTGCAGAATTACTTGAAGAGGAAATGTGCGAAGAAGAGCGATATAAAGATATGCATGAAGATATAAAAAGACTTGAAGGTAAGATTATGAAATTCATATTTCAAGAAACTGAAATATGATCACATCTAAGGTAGCTCCTAGATAGACTAGAAATTGTTATAACGGTATGCTTATGAATTGTTGCTGGAATCAGTCACTATTCAATTTATATTTCAAATGCTATTCGTTTTTTTTTTTATCAAAACTAATTCTGTCTTATTGATGAATAGGTTATTTTCTCTTCTGGTTGCAGAAGAGGAGGAAAGACAAAAGCGTGCTGAAATTGCATTTAATTATGATGAAAATTATAAAGAGGCAAGTAGTAGTAGTGAAGAAGAAGTTGACGAATCATTCCAATCCCCAGAAAATATCAAACTTCCATTGGGCATGAATTTGGTATGTCATGATTGATATCATCATTGTTCCAACTATTAAAAAAGTTATTCAAAAAAAAAAAAATTTGTGAATTATGTATGCTTTTTCACATCTAGGCTTTCTTATTTTCTTTCTGAGAATAATTCATTTTCCTTGTACTTTCCTTTTCGTGTGGTAGTTGCGTTTAATTGCATTGTAGAAATGCTAATATATTCCTTTTAAATTATTTCATTTTTCGTTTAGCCAGATACAATGAAGCAAAATGCTGTGATAGAGCGTACAGCAACATTTGTCGTTGCGCAAGGTCCGCAGATGGAAATAGTCATAAAAGCTAAACAGCGTGGAAATCAGGATCAGGTCTTCACTACTACATCTGTTCATTTGGTTTAAAATATGTGTAATTGAATGGGCTGGTTTATTGCTTGCTGATTTTTTAGTTTGGTTTTCTGGAATTTGATCATCCTTTGAATGCTTATTACAAATACATCTCAAAACTAATACGAGAAAAGAAGTATGTACCAAAACCGCATGTTCCAAAGCGCCGTCCGAAGTTGAAGAAATTAAGACGTTTGGAAGAAGAAAAGCGATTAAAGGAAGAGCAACAAAAACAAGACGTAGATATAGGTAAGGATTTTTTTTAAAAATCTCATGATTGAAATATTAATATTTGCTTTTTCCTGTTTTCTCTATAATCTAGATTGGCATTAGCTTCAGTTTATTTGTGATAGCTCATTTGTTTATAGTTATAGGTTCTAATTCTGATATTGATTCGGAATCTGATACTGATGGAAATTATCTTCATCCTTTGCTAATGGGAGGAGCACGGAAAACTGATTCGGGCAACAGTTCGCCAGTAATTGGTCCGAAGACGAAAGAAGAAAATGATGTTGTGACCAAGAAACAGTTACAAATTAGAACTGACTATAAGTTGGGAAAGGTTATTAAACAGTTTTTTTTATCCATTAAATTGATACTTTTCTCGAGATGTGTTTGTAATTCTTTTGAGGATTTGTTTTCCAAAATCTTACATGTGAGAGTCGGACATATTCATTGTAACCAAGAATTCTTTCATTTTTAGTACGCGGTTATCTATTTCAGGCTGATGACATGTATTCTTCGCTCTTCAAAAATCTATCTGATTTAGTTGTCACACAGGCAAAAGCAACACCGGTCACTGAAAGCAAAGATGAGTAAGTTATTATTTCTTTCACCTGGAAAATCACAAATAATAATGACAAATTGTTCCACACTGCTTCATTTAACTGTTCACAAAACTATTATCAAATGTCCCCTAACAAAATTTTTTTTAAATTAAATTATGCAATACTGTAGAATTGCGGAAAAAACAAAAGACTTGGAAAAAGGCGATTATTACGAGTGGTATCTGGGTTTCTATGGAGAACCACCACCAAGCAATGAACAACCGAATGTAATACCGCCGCCACCTGATATTATGCCTACCATCAATAGCGCTGCTGAATATGTTGCTAGATATGGAATTCAAGCCGAACAAATCCTTTTGGGTAAAGTTTACGATTCGTAAATGCTTTACTTTAATCTTCTCAAAATTTTGGAAAAGTTTCCAGACTACTGGGTGTTTTTCAGGGCGGCATGATCTCAATATTGGATTTTTGTGTGCTGACGGTCCATATTACGGCTATTATCATTCGCGCATTCGACATTACCAAAAGCTGCATGCTTCTTATATACAATCACAAAGGGTAAACGTATTTGAAGTAGTAATAAGCAACATTACCAATGTTTTTGTATATTGTGAATACTTCGAATGATTTTATTCCTCTAATACTTAAAGGCAATATTTCCTGAAACATTAAAATAATTTGAAATTTCACTTCTAGACGATGGGGGATGAAGAAACAGAAGAGTGGAACCCAGCGAAGCAGGAGGCGGATATTTCAAGTAAGCAGTGGATCAATTTTTTTTTTCTAGCGATGTTTCTCGCGACCAAAATTACTGACTGAAAGCTACCCTAAAAATATTATAACTATTTTTTTTTAGAAGGATATGATCTGGAAGAGTCCTGTAAAACTGAGAGTGACACCAGTGAACAAACAAATAAACCAATTTCTGACTTACTGCAAGCCCCTCCTCCACCACCACCTTTCATGAATCGAAAAATGCGTCGTCGAGGTTTCCATGATCCACCACGTACACCTGAGCCAGCTGTGCAAAATGTTGCTGAAGTCGGAATAATTGATTTCGATGACCAGGTTGGGAATTATTAGTTGTCGTCATTTAATTGTATTTTTCTTTCATATCAATTCTTGCTTTCGATTTTCCTGGTCATGTTACGGTTGATATATTCCTCTGTAAACGCTATAACTTTGTAATTGCTAAGAGAAGGAACGAAAACCGATGTTCTGCTTAAAAAAAAAACAAGGTTTTTTCACGTTCTTTCCTGCTTTAAGAAAATTTGAAAATTGCTACATGTTCAGTCGCATCAAAAATTTTCGTTTTGTAATGTTTGTTCCAGTTAAACAAAGTGCAGTCATTGCCAGCACTTTTGGATAATGCTGAAGAACAGGAAGAAGATGCAAGCACTTCAATAAAGAAAGCAGCAACGGGTCCAATATCTTTCTCTCTAAACATTCAAAAACCAGATGAAAGAAAAGTTCCGAAAATAGCAAGGTAAGTATACTGCTCAAAAAGTGGAAGCGTTAGCGTATTTAAAGGAAGCACATTCTTATTGTAAACATGGTAGCCTTGCTAACAACAACTTTCATTTTCACTTTGAGGAACGCATAAGATGAAATAGCCCAATGATTAAAAAGAAATATGAACTCAGCCGGCTCGAACATTTGCGGAACAGTTAAAAATTTTTTGCTGGATTATTACGAGCGAGAAAAATTAAAAAATTGTAAAGCTTATGGAAAACGGTCGGAAAGCAGGATTATGATTATGAGAGATGAGGGCTATCTTCTCCTAAAAGCAAATACAGTGTTTAATGTGGTTCCTTTTGAAAATGTAGCAATATCAGAAGTATTGTAAAGTAGTTAGTTTGCTTTGATCTTGTGCTTTTAGAAACTCTAAATACATTAACAATAATCTGTTTGCAGCGCCGTTAAACTTGGAGCATATGATGACGACAATGGTGGAGCAGAAGCGGTTGATGTTCCTCCTGGTGTTCTTAATAACGTATATTTTAAAAATTACTTAAAATTAATTTAACGGTTCTATTAATTTCCAAACGAATAAAAATCATTTATACCTAATTTATTGAATGGAATTTTTTTCTTAAACTGATTATTAACATTGTGGAGTACGAGTTTTTAAGAACTAATTTTTTTTATAGATTCCTCCGCCGGGTCTGACAATACCGCCACCTCCAGTTGCTCCTGTTCCTCTGTCCTCCGGACAACTTGCAGTAGAAGGTTCAGCCGAACTTCAATCAGAGCGAAAGTTAAAAGTAATTTTGCAGTCATTTCATTTTTTTATCTTCTATGTCGAAATGGATCAAGCAAATCCGAATAAATTAAGCAAATTCTAATAATAAACTCTGTTAGATTTGGAGATTCGTTAGATTTTTTTTTAGGCTCGCCTTTTCATGGAGAAAATTCTGAATGAGAAACGGGCTGCAAAATTGCGAGCACAAAATGAGGAACAATTTAAACGTGAAAGCGAACTTTTAAAAAAGTACGAAGAAGCGCGTGCTAGTGTAAGTTCTTTCTAAACGAATTTAATAAGGGCAGTTAACATTATTTCGAACATTTTTCAAAACTGGAACTCGAGAACTAATGCGGGAAAGTGTTGCATTTTTAGTCAACTTCGTCAATGATCACGAAATCAAAAAGTAAAAGCGATGTGAGTGATGTGGAAGTGATCTTTTCAACTTCCGCGATTGACCAACTAATTAATTCGCGGATCGATAAAGTGATCAACGAGACATTTAAAGAAAAGTAAATTAATAGCTTTATTTCGATTAGATGTTCATAATTTTTGTAGACTGTGTAACGACGCATTAATAATTTTTCCCGTTCTGTCCTTTAACTATATATTATATTTAGATGCGTCACCTCTTTGAACTTGCACTTTGTGTAATCTCCTTTAAAATATAATGATAGTTTTGCAACATTAAAAATGAAATATATGATTTCTGGTATGTTTTACACAGGCTGTCTGAAGTCAAAATTAATGAACAGTCTTGGAAACTAAGAATTAATGAAGAGATATAAAAAAAATGATTTTTCGATTCATTGTCACTCCATACTTTTATTGGCATTTTGAATAATAAGTTTACAGGAAAGATTCTAAACATTCAAAAAGCCATCATCACAAAAAGGAAAAAAAGAAGAAACGAGAAAGAAAGCGCGATGACAGTCGATTAATGGATGAATATAGCAACAAATCAGGCAAACGTCACAAAAGGTCTGATTTTATTCGATATTATTGAAAGTGATTTACATATTTTAAATGTACTTTGACGGTATATTGATTCCATTTCCTGAAAATATTTCTTTTGCTAAGCTGATCCATCCACTTAATGATACAATAGAAAACTTTCACATACATAGTCATGCTTCCTCATTTAAAATATAAATAATTCTTAGATTTCCATGCTTAGACTTTGATGATTTCCATAAATGGTATAGTGTCATTGATTTATAGAAGCGTGCCACTAATTATGAGTGATTTTATTTCAAAATCAAATTTTAGATCCCGAGAAAGTTCTGGTTCATCTGAACGGAAAACTTCGAAGAGAAAAAAAAAGAAACGAAGACATCGATCTCATAGTAGTGGTGCTGAAAGCGGATAAAAGTTGCTTGTTACACTAGGCTTATGATTGTAATTTATGCTCAGGTTTCTTGATTTATCACAGAAAATCATACGAATAAAAAATTTGCATTGTTCTGGATATCATATCTTCAATTTTGTAAATTTCAGAATAATTCTGTTGTTAAAATTATATGCTAAAGGCATCTATTTTATATTACAATATTTTATTTTTAGAATATTAGATCATTGTCTAAAGCATCTAACAAAACTTAATATTACTATATGTTATGAAATAGTAGTATTGGAGAGATTTATTGGGCCCAATTGTGTCCAAAGCAAAAAGAATTCTTATTCTGAAGTGAAAGAACCAATAGTTTAGATGACCAAATGAAGGAGCATCATCAGCAACAAATTGTAAATCATCTCAAATGTGGAGTGGTACTTTGTAGTAATTGGTTCGCACTATTTCAAATCCATTTATTCACAATATTTGACAACCTTTTGAAGAATGTCAGTAAAAAAAATACATTGCAAAGATTTCATGCGTATTTGGTAGTATAACTTCACAACCGAACAATTTGTACTTCGCAAAAATCAGCAACGGATATATGCGAATTCTCTTTCCTCTCATCAAGCTCTTTGAGATCGATCTGCAGTTTCATGAATGTACCACTACTTCCGCGTACTAATGCATTGGTGTTCACAAATACTGAGTCGGCGACTACCTGCATCATAAATCTCTTTAACAGTCCTGTTGATCATGGATTAATACATTTTAAAATTATCAGGAAAGAAAATACCTTAATGGTAGGCGCAAGTACCGACGGCAAAATAATGACGTGAGGTATTACAGAAAGTGATGTGCGCTCGACAGCTTCACGAAGTCGATATGTAACATCATGAGATGCGGGATATAACGGGTATAAAGAACGCTGTCTGTAAGGATCATTCGGGTAGAATATATATATATATATGTATATATATGTATGCAAAAGTTTGTTTTCAATGTAAGGTGAGAAATCTCGGGAGAAACTTCGATTGTCTCGGGGAAAGCAGTAAACATTTCAATTCAAATGCACTGTAAATTAAATGAAATACAACAATTCATCTTTCAAATACAACTAAGCGTTAGTACCTGAATAAATCGCGAACAAGTCGAAACATTCGATCCTGATTTTCACAATTATCTAGACGACTTATTTCATCTCTCCCTAAATGCTGGATGATTTCCGATGCTGTTATAGCAAATTCAACACCAGCAATCCGAATGATTGCAGGATCCGGTAAAAGCACTATATTCTATAAAGTATTGATGTTAGAAAAGGAAATCCCGTCAAAACTAAACATTAGTGAACCATAAAAAAGATTGGTCAACAAGCACCAATGAATGATGAGTTCCTGGAACAGTTTTAGACAAAAATTTTTATATTAAAGCAAAGAAATTGGTTGATGCAACGAGCGAAACGGATACCTTGCTCAACTGTTGCTTTCGCTGTTTAAGTGACTGAAATGGTGGAGTAGGGAAAGATGGTCGCAGTGCAGCATCTTTTCTTCCGTTCGGAACTATCAACACTTGAACATCAGTCCTGAAATACTGAAATGTTACTAATCGATTCGTGATATAAAAAAAGTTTGTGTTTGAATTCCAAAATGACTTCTGCATTTGATTAACATTTTGACTTTTACGTTTATTAAAAGTCTGACTTCAAATTATTCAGTTTATAATTTCTCCTCTATTAAAAACATTATGTCTTATTTCTTTTTTGAGAATCATTTCATATGCAATTAATTTTCTACTCTTGCTGTAAATGGAAAAATATTATTGTTATAAGTCCACGTTTTAAATTTTAGAAGCATGAGCTATTTCTTGTAATTTATAAGCAAAATAATCTTATTTGAATAAAAGTATTGTTACGCAATTCGTGCTTTCGTAAACAACTAACCCTGATAAGGCGTCATCAATTTTTGCAAGAAGCATATCCATAAGATCGCCATATGTGTAACAACATTGAGGTGACTTCACTACTGGACTCATTCGATCAATGAACGGTCCAATCTGAAGTTTTACAATTCTCAAAAGGGCAAAGTAGTATACAAATAGCGGAAAAATACTTAACACGTACCAGAATTAGAACATTAGGTCGCTCCTTCCTCACTAATTCGACTAAATCGCAAAGCTGTTCATAAGAGAGAGTTTTAGAAGAAGAGAACGGACCACAGGCACACCAAACATGAAGCAGATCTGAAGAAGTCATGCTCTAATTCCTAATTCATCTCTATGATACACTTTTTTACCAAGTGCCTATTGTTAAGGTTGAAAATATGTCGGAACAGATCACCATTTGCAATTACATTCCCAAATGTATTAACTTTGCATAACTGAATCCAGTTCAATGAGCATAATTTGACAATTGTAGTTAGCCACTAATTACCATCATAGAACTGTTTTGACAATTCGACAAAATCTTACCAATGCCTGGTTGCTTTTTAAGAGGTGCAATGGATGGTTCCTTAGGTTCGAAAATTTCATCCGGGATAAATATATCACCAGCAAAAGATCCACGAAGTGTAACAATCTATGACAGCAGTAAATTACTAACAAGTGGAATATGAGCAATTGATAATGCAATGAAATTTACTTCATTATAAATTTATAAGAATTTTGATGTCCTAATTAACCATTTCCAATTTAATTTAATTACTGGTTGTCATAAGTGACGATATACGTTCTGTTATATATCTCAGTTGTCGTCAAACTTTCTTTTTAGTAATAAATACATTGATAAGTGTAGGCTGAATAGAAAAGATCAGGAACTACCTTTCCAGGGAACAATGAATAAGCCTTAAGATTGCTCAAATCGAGATTTATAACATCAGCACTCTGATTAGTGCACTGCAATGAACAATTTGACACATCTAACGGATCCTCCGCATCATTCACGATAAATCCGGAATATACGTTTCTTATCTGCAAAACAAATTTTTTTAATATTCTTTTACCAAAATTTTTATGTTTACAAAAAATGGCGCAGCATTTAAAATTAAAATCCGTTTTTGTAATAAAAATTGCTTGAAGTCAATATATCAATAAAGCGGAAGACTTGGAAATGATAAAACAAACGTAAGATTACATGTTTATGTTAGAACAGTTAAATTTAAAAAAGAAATATACCATCGATAATGAATTCATTTGTTCGTCAGTTTCGTTTTCTTCCTTGATTATATCGCATAAATTCTGAACTCGTGATATGAGTGCTTAAATTAGATTAATGTGCTTAATGCAAACAATTAATTACATGTGTCCATTAGGAAAAGCCCATAAAACACCATATTTTTTTTCTCCTAAAGCAAAATATATGGAACGCTAACTTTTACAATTATATACTTATTCGAATTAATAATTGAGCTCGCAGTGTTTTTAAGATCTTACGCAAACTTTAACTGCGGATTTATTTTGGTTGGATTACATCTGTTTCCGATCAAAAATAATTTTCAATTCCACCAGCCAAAATTTAATGAAAACTTCTGTGATAAATAAACTCAACTTCAGTACAATTATGATTTATTATAAATTATGAGAATGATGAAGCCTTCAAGTATAACTCTTGAAATATAGTTTAAAATATGGTCACGCATCAGACCATATTCATTATTTACGTACACGTTAATATTCCGACCGATCAGCATATATAGATTATGCTATACTAAGAAATAATCAGAGAATTTCTCCTCCTTACCTTCAATCTGTTCCAAATCTTTCTCAGCACCATATTGTAACAAATTTTTGTAATCATCAGTATATAGTTTTTCCACAATAACTTTACATACATTGCTGCCTTTAGTTCTATCATTTCTTTTTGTAGTAAAATTTTTTCCTGTGAATTTCATGATAATTTTGCCCGAATCTTTGCGATTTTGATATGCGACATCAGATGTGGATTTCCTGAAATGAAAAATTAGTGGGAATGAACAATCTATTGACCATAAATTCATTGAATATTACTTATATGAATCTAGTTAACAGATGTGTTTTAATTAGAAAATCAATTAAAAAAATAGTCCTCCAACCTGATTGGTGTAAAAGCCAAATATTTCTCGGGCAAAGTGAAATTTTCGTTTGAAAAATCTATAATTGTACTGTCAGGCACATTACTCTCATCAGGCCATGAATTCTTGCTGTTTTCACTGAATGAAATTCTGAAATTATATGAGATGAAAATCAATCGAATAATACTAACTTTTCTACGCACTATTTTATGCTTTACGCAAATAGATAACATTTCATTAGCCGGGTTGAATTACTATAGAGCTTGAGAAATATATAGTAGCATACCGTTTATCTCATTCTTTCTTATACATGAGATTAGTAGGGAATGAAGCTAATTATTAAATAATGCTTAATAAAAATTACTTCGTATGGGAGATATTGAATGATTCATTCTTGCAATCTTGAACAGCTCTTTGCAGAACCTACAAGCGAAAAACAAAAAAAAAATCTGTAAATGATTACAAAAAATAAAAAATGAGTTATAAATAAAGATTTCAAAAGTTTTGCATAAAAATTTTTGTCTTTATTGGTGCTTTTTATTGTTGTGGACATTAGCCTGCTTTGAGGAAGGTTATTGGTTTGATTTGACTTGGGAGAGCTTTGTGGCTATGTGACACAATCGAATCAGTTAGTGAAGATTTTTTGGTTATTGGATTTAAACTTGGGTTGATTTGTGTTATAGAATTGGGTTTCTTGAAGAGGAGAGTTGATCGTTCTGTTTGATTACGATCTGATAAATTCGGCTTGAAATCGTTATTTAGGTCTTGGTTTAGAATGTTTGTTCCAAACATTGTTGAATTTGATGTGGTGACTGCGCTGATTGACGTAGTTGTGCGTGTAGTTACCGGCATTAACTTCTGAGCTCTTGTTTACTTTTTTGGGATATTTAAA